ACCTCCTCTTTAAATGCTTTTAGTTTTTGCTACAGTTCAGACGAATGAGGGGGGATCTCGTGCAGACTTATAATATTCTAACAGGACTGGACAGGGTAGATGCAGGGAGGATGTTCCCAAAGGTGGGTGTGTCCAGAACCAAGGTCACCATATGCGGTTTTTGGGTAGACGATTTAGGACAGAAATGAGGAGACGTTTCTTCACCCAAAGAGCGGTGAGCCTGTGAAATTCATTACCACAAGAAGTAGTTGATGCCAAAACATTGAATGTATTCAAGAGGTGGCTAGATTGAATGCTTGGGGCGAATGGGATCAAAGGTTATGGGGAGAAATCAGGATTAGGCTATTGAGTTGGACGATCGGCCATGATTATGAAGAATGGCGGAGCAGGCTCAAAGGGCCGAATGGTCTCCTCCTGCACCTGTCTATGTTTCTATGTTCCAACCTCCACAACACCCTGGGGCAGAGAATTCCAGACAGTCACTGCCCTCGAGGAGAAGAAGTTCCTTCGCATCTGAATTTTAAATATATCCCTTTAATTTGTAGCTATGTCCCAATAGTTCAAGATTCTTCTACAAATGGAAATACCTTATCAGCACTCACTCTGTTACGCCCCTCAGAACCTTGTATATTTCAATATGATCATTGCTCATTCTTCTAAACACAGAAGAATAAAAGCCAAACCTGTTTAACCATTCTTGATAAATCAATCTCTGCATCCCAAGAATTAACCTAGTGAATCTGTTTTGAACTGCCTCTAATGCCAAATTTTTTTTTAAATATGATGACCAAAACTGTGCACAGTACTCCGGATACAACCTCACCAAAATCCTAAATAGTTGGAACAAATCTTCCCTCTTTTAAAACCTCCTCATGATAAAGGACAAAATTCTATATGCCTTTTTAATTACCTCAATCACACCATAGTCTATAATCAGTTATCCTATAAAATATGGTCCCTGAGCCAAAGCCATCTGTAATGATATTCCTCACTTTGGGTTTACCTCTTCCAACATTATTGAAACAATATTTATGGCAGAACAGCCTTGTGTAGGATAGGCTTCCATCAACTTTGTAAATTAATCAATAATGATCAAACAATAACTTGTTCCCCAACTTGGTGGGAGAGGTCCTGTAAAATTACTTCTAACTACTCCAATTGCCCCTTTGCTCAAGGCTGATGTGATATGGAACCTTGACTGGTCTTTGTGGATTATTTTGAGCATATACAAGGGATTGCTGACAGTGTTTTTAATACTCCTTCCCATTCCTTGCTGCCACCAGTATCTGTCCATCCTCCCCAACATGACTTCCCGATCATGGTGTGCATTCTGTATTTTCATAAGGTTACACTAAGAACAGCATGTGGCTACCACACCTTCCTCTCTTTATCAGATGCCATCAGCATCTTTTACCACTCCTTGTTCTTCCCATCACTTTTCCTTCCTCTTCTGTACTTGTGTGAATGTAAATGTAGATTTCCTCCATGCCAATTGTCAAAGCTGCTGCCCCATGCTCAGGACCGTCTTGTAGCTGCCACCTTGGCTGCCTCATTTATCAGTTACCAAGTTGGATGGGTTCTGCTCCCTTCTGATGTACTTTAACTATTATCACTACTGCCTCTAGTGGTAGTCTAAAAACTCCAATTAAATCCTTAATTACTGTCTCAAGAAGTATGTGCCCTGCTCCTGAGGTGATGTTCCCCTTTCATCTCCAAATTACCATTTAATCAATAGCACCAAAGAAAATTGCTACAGTTACAGAGATTCATCTAGACATGACATACAAGCGAGGGGATCAAATGTACTTTGCTGGCATGTTGTCAAGAGTCGCACCGCTTGTGGAGAAAGTAGAGGATGCTATGGCAGATTGTGAAATCTTCCAGATCCAGTATGAACCAGCAAGTTCCACATGCTCTGGTAGGCATCAAACCAGTAGAGATATTGAATGTAACAGACAAGCACCTTTCTCAATTCAAGCGACTTCTTGTCAAATGAAATCAAATAAAGAGTGTGGCAAGAAGTTGGGATGAATGGATGGCCTGAAAGCATCAAGTACACTCCTGTTATCACAGGACTATATTGGGCATGCAGAGATCAATTGAAAACGCAAGATGTCATATTATACAAAGGTAAGTGAATCATTAAACCTAAGGAGTTGTGAGGACAGTGCGTCCACACAAGCTACCAAGGAATTATGTTGAGTCTGATGAAGACAAGATAAGTGCTGCACTGGCCAAGCATGAGTAAAGAAATTAATGAACACATCAGCCATTTCATTGCTTGTAACAAGCACCAAAGTAAGTAAGTTAGAGAGTTGCTGATGATACATGACATTGCGGGCAGACCAGGGATGAAGCTGGAAGTAAACCTTTTCACTCTGATCAGGACGATGTGAACTCACCAGTTGCACAGTCCACAGATCAACCAGCACTCTCAAAGATTCACAACATACCAACAACTGAAATGGGACAATAACAGTTAATGAAGCAACAAAAGTGGCAGAACAACATTCCCCTGGAGAAAGGACATCACCCAGAAGAATGGTCAATGACATCATATAGTTTAAGAGGCTGGTACAGTCTATGTACGCAACGCATGTACAGAGGCGACTGAGAAGAATAAACTGCAAATGTATAAGAACAGTTTTGTTTATCGTGGATGGCATGGGTAACTCAGTGTAAATGACATTGTATGTAACATTTTCTTTCTTAGAAAAAGATGTGTAGGATAGAATTATAATGGTACAAATGTGTCATAATCATTTTACAACGAGCATGAGGCATTCACTGTAAACATCCACCTTCCTGTGTCTTTGTTGAACTGATTGTACTAGCAAAACAGGTGTCCTGCAACTTGCGACATTCATTTCTTAGCTTTGTAGATTTTGATGCCTATCGCCAAGAACAGCTCAGTAGTACCACCACCAACTGAACTAGCTGAGTCTCCAAGGATGCCAACCTAAGCCTACAGCAGTAGTGGCTGCTTTGCTCAACCAAAGATTTTGACAAAAACATTTAAGATAGGTATAGCTCCCTTGATTAAATATGCCTGATTTTGGTGGCCTCATTGCCAAGACCAGTTGAAAACATTTCTGGAGGTTTCTTTAGATGATCACATCCCTCAAACAACTTTGCTTTAATCCTTCTGTAATATTTTTAACAGATAAGCACAGATATTTTTGAAATCTGCATTGTATTTTTAGGAACAGCAGTGTGCTGGAGATGGTTTTGTAATTCCTGTGGACTTTTTGCAAAACCATAACTTAGCTTCAGTGGGCATCCATTTGATAGCACAGTCACCCATAGCTTGTATCACTCTGCTAATAACTGAGAGTAGACTGCTAGAACACTGAATTATTCCGAACTTTTGCAGACAGGACATGCTTGGAAAATTTTCCAAATTGTCGTGTAGATTACAGTGTTGTAGCTGTGCTATTTTTTTCTTAATTCATTCATGGGATGTGGGCATCACTGTCTGAACCACCGTTTATTGCACATCCTTAATTATCCGGAAGGCAGTTAAGAGTCAATCACAATGCTGTGAGTCTGGAGTCACATGTAGGACAGACCAGGTAAGGGCAGCAGTTTCCTTCCTTAAACCAGATGACAATCAGCAATGGTTTCATGGTTACCATAAGACTCTGAATTCCAAATGCCATGGAGGGATTTGAAACTGAGTCACCAGAACATTACCTTCTTTGGATTAGTAGTCTAGTCATAATATTACTGGACCACCAACTCTGCCATTCTAGAACAGCTTGCCTAAGAAATAGCCAGTTCTTCAGCACCAAATTTTCAATATTATTGTTGGCTTGCTGTATCTTCAGTAGTTGCAGCTTTTTTTTATCAGATGGAGTGAAGCAAGTTGGCTGAAGGCTGGCATTTGTGATGCTGGGCCTCAAGATGAGGCCTATATGGATCAACCACTCTATTATTGGTTCAGCCTTTTGCACTGATATGGACCCAGCATTGAGAATGAGGAAGCTTGTAGAGCATAATTTTCTGGATTGTTGTTTAATTGTTCAGCACGTTCCTCAACTGGATTGGCAAGACTGCAGAGACCTGATCTGATCCATTGGTTGTAGGATTGTTTAACTCTGTCCATTGCTGCTTCTGCTGCTTTTTCTGCTGCATGCATTTAGTCCTGAGCTATTTGTTTCACATGCAGTGGTTACTTCTCCTAATACTTTCATGGGCAGGTGCAACTGCAGTACCTAGATTGGTGAGGGTGCAGTCAAGTACATCTCCTCAATAATCTCTGCAGCAAAAAAAAAGTAAACGTTTTCTCAAAGTTAGCCAGTTGTTGCTGTAGTCTCAGCAGGAATAAAGCACAACTTCACAACCCTCATGATTACCTCGCCATTGTTGCTTCAACAACCTTTGACCTGCTGACAGCAAGGCAATCAGTCTAATTTGTTCAAATAATTTAAGTATAGACAAAAGTTTGCATGAAATTGTACTGGAGCTTTGGGACCAGTTTTGGCCTCTCAGTTAGGATCAACCATGCTGCCTTACTGCTGTTATGATCCTGTAAAAACCTCTACCCTGCAATAACTAATTTAGTTTAGGGCAAATGTTTTTTTTGTTCTCATACTGCAAAGAACATACAGTGTGAGTTCTTGTTTATGCTGATTTTCATGTTTTGGCTTATGTTAGTGAGAATGGTAAGAAATTTTGGCGTCACTTAATATCACAGCAAAATGGATACAAATTATTAGGATATGTATAAAACTATGGTGTAACTTAATACATGAGCATAAGATATTTCAAGTTCAAGTATCCTTGAGCCAAGCCCCTGTTGCTGCCTGTAGATCCCTGTTCACCTTATATTGAGCAGAGATTGTATGATTCTGTGCAGGTCTTTCAATCTTCACTTCCATTACATGTTTTATTAATCATGCTTGATTTACACAGAACTGGACCAGGCTCACGGCTAAACCTGGTAGGTACATTGCACAAAGCTTCACATGCAATAGTAATTGTTTTCTTTCTATCTTTAGTGATCCCAACAAGCCAGTGCCGCAGGACACCAAATTCATTCACACAAAGGCAAACCGTTTTGAAGAAGTGGCCTGGTCTAAGTACAACCCACGGGATCAGCTTTATCTTCACATTGGTCTGAAACCGCGAGTCCGGGAGCACTACCGTGCCACCAAAGTAGCCTTCTGGAAGCACCTGGTCCCACACCTATACAACCTGCATGATATGTTCCAGTACACCTCCACCACAACCAAGGTGCCTCAGCCTAACACCACTCCAATCTCCTATGCGACTAGACGACCCAATGGCAAGATTTGGCCATTCACAACCAAACGGCCGGGCTCAGGCATGTCTCCAGCTTTCAACTCCAATGAGCAGCAGAAGGAGAACTGGAACTCGGAACAGGACGGCGGTTCCCTCCTGATCGAGAATCCCCGCGACTACTCGACTGAGCTAAGTGTAACCATCGCAGTGGGGGCCTCCCTGCTTTTCCTCAATGTCCTGGCCTTTGCAGCTCTATACTACCGTAAGGACAAACGCCGTAACGACCCCCACACACAGCCAAGCCCACAACGTAACACTAGCAACGACATGACGCATACACAGGAGGAAGAGATCATGTCACTACAAGTGAACCAAACCCACCATGAGTGTGAGAACATCCAGGCTCATGAGCCCATGAGGCTTCCTTCACTGCCGGACTACACTCTGACTCTCCGCCGATCTCCCGATGACATACCCCTCATGACCCCCAATACCATCACCATGATTCCCAACTCCTTGATGGGGATGCAGACCTTGCATCCTTACAACACCTTCGCTGCTGGTTTTAACAGCACAGGGCTGCCTCATTCACACTCCACTACCCGGGTATAGTCCTGGGCAGAAATCCTCCAGTAACAGGAGTGAATGAACTCCGGGTAGAGACCCCCTCATACAGACCACTCCACACTGCTGGATTTTAACAAGAGTTTAATTAACATGTGCACTGTGCCATCCTTACAAGAAGGCTTTCTCCCTGGGAACTTCAAAAGACACGTATTCACATTGGGCCTTCTTGTTCAAAGAGATAACCTGAAGTTTTATAAAATAATCAAAATGAAAAAGTGTTTAAAAAAAAGAAAATTCAAAAACAAAAGAAAATGAAAGTGCTTTTGTTACCATTGTGGGGAGGCAGCAGCAGTTGACTACCCACCTTTATCTCATTGTTCACATGCCTTAGCCCCGCACGCTGCTGTGCTCCATGCATTTTTTAATCACTTTTAGAACAGTTTAGAGTAAATATATTAGAACCGATGGGATGGTAGGAAATGCACACACACGAGAACTGAAACGCTATGGCCAGCCGAGCCAAGAATGTCCTCTGCAGTTTACAGATCAGCTGCCATAATTTCATGGGAACATCATGGAAAGACCAGAAAGTAGTGAGAACTGGGATTTCAGCCGAAGTTATAGCAATCGTTCGATAGAGCCCCTAGAAAATTCCCAGTACATTGTTTCTCAGTAAGGTTGTTAAGAATAATGAGGCCCTCCCTGACCTCCAGGCTCTGTTATCACTTGGAAGCCTATGTGTTCTCCCATTGCTACCTACCTTTTCCTTCCTCATTCATTTAATTGGGGAAGCACTTTGAATTTTTGTGACTCAAGAAGAACCTAACAAACGTTTTACAGATTTTTTTTGTTCTGGAGCTGGTGGCAACTCTTCAAGTACAGAAAATAATGCAGCTTTAGATAGTGTGCACCCCTTAATATTTTTTATACAAGGTGAAATGTGACATGTGCCAAATTAGAACCAGCATTTTTTTCGGGGGGTATGGAGGGTTGTTTTTAACTGTATCTGTCTGTTTTGTATTTTGGTATAAGCAATCTGTTGCTGTCTGTTACTCTGTGTCATGCTTGTCTGCGTTTGAGAAGGTACAGAGGGGGACAGTGCCACAATACGCTCCCAAGTTTTGAGGCTTTTAAATTCAAAGTCAGGCTCTGTTCCATGTACTCAGTCCAGGCTCACAAGTGCTATCAAAGGAATGTTTTTTTCAAACCCACATCAGGCACCTCCCCACAGAAGCCAGACTCCAGGCGAGTGTAAAAAAGAATACATTTCAATGCTAGGGAATTTCAGTTTGAATTTTTAAGCAGGCTCTTCCCTCCAGAGTTTATACTTGTCATGCATATTTTGAGTCATATTCCTTGTCCATGATTTATTTACAAGTTCATGTTGTGAGTGTGTGTTTAATGAGATTGGTTTGAAAACTTTAAGTTGATTCTCAGTGTGCCCATTTGGTAAAAAACAGGTACAAAATTTCTGAGGGCAGTGTTTCTTGCCCCAGGGCACCTGACAAATGTCTGCCCCCACATTGGGTTAAGCAGTTTTTGAGAGTTCTATTAGCCATTTGAAACAGATATTAGGGCCCTTACATATGTAAAAACCTGTTTTTAGGATTCCTCTGGTATATGGGCTGTCCCGAGTAAAACATGCACCAGAAAAAACCTAGCTTAAGACAATCAACAGCCACTATGATTGGGTAACAGTCACCAGGAAAAATAATGTACACTTTTCCATACTTTAATATGAAGCAAGGTGATGCAGGAATATTCATGCGCAAGGATTACTGCCAGTCATGGTCACCCCTCTGTCATTGCTTCACCAGTGAAACAAGCAGCCCAAAATCCACGTTCTTTAAATCAACTTGCTGCCATTAGAGGCACAACAGGCCTATCAACCAAAGCATGAGATGAGACTGCGGTCAGTTTCTGGAAAGTTGTGAAGCTTTCTTATAGACAATGAATGGCCCATGACCAGTTTGTTCTCCATAATCCCTATCTCATCAGTGCCAGCATTCTGTGGGAGGGAAACAAGACAGTCTTCTCATAAATATAAACCCACATCCCAATTATAAATAACTCCAGCCTCGCTCAATAAACTAATCCAAATGAAACACAGCTCATGCACTCAAGAGTAGTTACTTATGTGTGACAAATGTAACAACAATGCCAGATGCATGTATATTCGAATGGAAAATGCTGCAAATGCTCAGAATGTCTCCTTGGAAGAGACTTTAATAATTCTGAGCATTTGCAGCATTTTCCATTCGAATATACATGCATCTGGCATTGTTGTTACATTTGTCACACATAAGTAACTACTCTTGAGTAGTTGGAGGTGAGCTGCTTTCTTGAACTTCTGCAGTTTTCAATGGTAGGCCCATTGTGATGTTAGGTAGAGAGTTCCATGATTTTAGCCCAGTGACAGACAGGAAAGGACCTACAATATGGTTCCAAATCAGCAGTATGTGTGGTTTGAAGGGGAATTTGCAGTTAGCGGTATTCATAGAATCCCTACAGTGTGGAAACAGGCAATTTAGCCCAACAAGTCCTTACTGACTCTCTGAAGAGCATCCCACCCAGACTCACCTCCCCAACACTATCCCTGTAACCCTGCATTTCCCATGGCTAATCCACCTAACTTACACATCCGTGGACACTATGGGCTATTTAGCATGGCCAGTCCGCCTAACCTGCACACCTTTGGGCTGTGGGAGGAAACCAGAGCACCCAGAAGAAACCCACACAGACATGGTGAGAATCTGCAAACTCCACACAGTCGCCCGAGGCTAACATTGAGCCCAGGTCTATTGCACTGTGAGGCAGCAGTGCTGACCACTGAGCCACCGTGCTGTCCATTGTGTGTTCTCAAGCATCCGCAGCCCTTGTCCTTCTGTGTGATAGAGGTTGGGAATTTAGAAGATGCTGTTGACTTGTTCCTGAATCTACTTGCCAGCAGCTGAAAATAGAAAGTTATCAGATATAGTGCCAAGTTCTGGTTGGAAATCTCAATTTGCTGTGATAACAAATAATCAAACCACTGTCCTAGAAAGAATACAAAATCAACATCCACAATTGTGGTCAATCCTGTCTGAGCTGGTTCTCGTCTGACTTTGAACCACAAATTAAGTTGCTCTCGTGTAAAACAAAACCAGCATGTCTGCCATATCCTATCTACATCAGTATTCTTCTATCTCTAACCCTCCATATTCAATTTTTATTTACATCCATCCCTCCATATCCAGTTCGTCAATGTGTTAAACTTTCATTTCTGCTTTTCAATATCTATTCTTCCATTGTCCACAGCTTTTATCCTTATCTCCAATCCTGCTGTTTATCATCCCAAATCCAATCTTCCCTTTTTGCCTTTACTACTGCATCTGATCCTTTGTTAACTGTTCTTTGTGATCCTATTAACCAACCACTGGATAGCACTAGAAGTCGATTCTGTTGCAAGTAGATTAATTCCCTTTGGTTAATGTTTTCTTTTATGATTAACATGTTCTTTTGGGTAAGGTCTAAAGAAGCTCCACTATGATCATCTAGTAAATTATAAACTGCTTTTCCCATGCCAGACAGCAGTAAAGCATCTGATGTAAAGTTTACTCTTGCTTGCCTTCCGTGTAAATCACGGTGTCATGTTGCATTTGGACAAAGAATGATCATCAGGTAATTCAGCTAATATTACTTGATATATCCTCTAGGCATCTTGATGATTTCAATTATACAAACTCTGACATTGGCTTATAGGACTTCCTGTGTGATTTTTTAGAGCTGAGGACCGAAAGTCAGTGCCATGTGTGGAAGCAACTATTAGGGTATCAGTAATTGTCAAGAAGGAGGTTTCATATTTTCTTGCGATATTTTGGATTGAGTTGAACATTTAAGTCAACAGCAACTACCATTCTGGGAGTCTGCAATTGCTCGTTACTGGATTGGAGTTTGGGAAATCTGTTTGGCGCCTTTTTGGCTTTCAGTTTTACCGTGTGTTCTTCAGGATTGGAAGTAGGCTGTAAGATGAGATGTGGAGCTATATTAGTTACTGAAGGACTTTATAGAGATGACTGCTCCCTATGCTGAATAAGCATCTCACTCAAACATCTGGGTTCAGAGTAACAGAGACTATGCTTTACCTGTTTTTGATGTTAAAACTTGTCAACCAGTGCACATCTGGAACAATATAGGACAAAGGGAAAATATTCCATTGTGTGTCATAGACGACTCTTTGAATATTGAAGTGTGCAGATGCCTAGATCCTTTTCTATCATGTTCAAACTGTATCAACTAAGTATGTTTTTAGTTTGAGGCTGAATCTTTTATTTAGAGTGCAAACACTCTAAATATTTCTTAATTCACATTATTCTCAATAAACTGAACAATTAAAAAAAATCAATTTCCATTATTATTTTGATGCTGAAATACTCCTGCGAAGCTTAAGAGGTAAACTGCAACTCTGACTGAGGGGAAAACAGCACAAAAGAAAAGCTGATCTGTGGGTACAAAGCTGTTGTATCTATATATAAGACCTATATTAAGATATATAAATATGAACTATGATTTAAACATATCAAATATGACATTTTTCTGAAATATCATTCATTCTATTTCTGTCTGAAATTATATTTTTAAAAGGCACTGAAAGCAAAATTAAAAAGTTTTGGGAAGATTGTCCACAGAAATGTCTATCCTAAATGATGATAACTAGTTTTTGGTTGCTGGAAGCCATTCAGCAGCTATCAGCTGTCAGAGATTCAGGGACTCCTTAAAATGGTGTCACAGCACCTCAGTTACCTGTAATATCGTGAATGAGCCTATGTGGATTGTGTCTATGTATTTCTGCTGTCAAGGATAATATAATGCCTATGTATCCAAATTGTTACCTGTGATGCAACAGGGTCACATAAGTAAATCAGCGCCTGAACCCTATGTATCACTTATTAAGGATCAATTGGAATTTTATTTGGACTCTGCAAAATTTTCATGGCCCTACTAAGTATTCCAGCTCATTTTGATCCCACTGAGTGATCTACCTTTAGCATATCTTTTTCTACATGCT